TTATGAATTGACTAACAACATACATACTACTTGTTTATCATGTATTGAGTTCAATTGTAGAATTTAGTGATATGCTGAGCTTTTAACTCATTATATGTTGTTTAAATGATCTTTAGGTCAGGAAAATAATTGAGATTGTGGGATTGATCAATTACATGATTCTCAGGGATATGTGACTGGACGAATGGTTAAGTATGCTAGCAACTTATGTTGAAGGTCTTGGATCACGTTAAAAGAGAGAAGGCAAGTGAGTTGTTGTTCCGGGAAAATGAGAGATATAGATCAGATGGTCACACCAAGATGAATCGAGAGCCATGTGAGGAGGGCCTTTTTTATAGTTGAGCTTAATGTGCATGAGTAAGGATGCCTACTCTGGGAGAGAGTGTGCGATCATGATGGATGCCTTCTCATGTGGTAGGTGACGAGTTGCTTGAAAGTTGAATTATTTCACTATGAGGGATGACTTCCCTTAGGATGCTTGGGTGAGTAGAACTTGTTGATCATTTGGGAGAGTTCTCTTATACATTCCAAATGAGTAGCTAGCTCCATTTGATTATTGAGCATGCTCTTCTATTGGCCACACTAAGGATGAGTTCCTTCATCGTGCTTGTCGACCATCAATTAGACACCTGTGAAGGTATATGAGAGTATATAATTAGTTCCCCAATTCACTTGAAACTTCGGTACCCAAGTGCAAAAAGGATATGTGAATGAAAGAATGATGAGTATATAATATGACAACTATATAAATAATAAGAAAGTAAATGTGAATTTACTACCCTGTTTACTATAGTCTTGATAACAGTGTTGACTGATGTGTCTGCACCTTCTTCTTAAACTCTATTAAGTGGCTATTTGTTGGAGGTTTTTAACTTTTCAAAACCTTCGAAGGATGTTATTTGAAATATGAGTGCATTATAGATTAGCCTTGCAGTTTTTTAATAAAAAAGAAATTAGGTGGCTTAGCTCTGGCAAGTGTTAAGAGAGCAAAAAGGCAACATTTTGCCTAGGCAAGGTTGAAGAGCTTTGGCTATATCGAAGGACTTTTTGACGAGTAAGAAAGATAGAGAGTAAAAACATACCATCCGAGGGTCTTCTCACCATCCCTCTTGCAAAAACGATGAAGATTAAACGTGAGGTGGCGACAACAAGGACAATCCAGCCTACTGGGACTATGTCGACTAGTGAATTAGCTGTGCTAGAGTAGATGAACAACATACCGAGATGTCGACCTTTTTTTATTTGTATGGAGTCCAACTTAATTTGAGGTTGCCAAGGTGACTCCATCTATAATGGAATGTGGCAGAGCCAATAAAAAAAGTAGCCTCCATTGAGGTTGGGGTGACTACCTAAGCGGCTAAGTAGGAATCTTCAGTGGGTACAAGTAAGGAAAAAAAAAAGACAATTTTAAATATTTGAAGACATTCCTATCAAAAAGGAAGATGACTACTATAAGAGAGCATGAAATTTATATTTCCTCGAGCAAGTTGTTGGGACACCTGTCGAGCGACTCAAAGTTAACATATTTGAACCGATGGGTGCTTGAGTTGGACACGAACGTGACTTTCCTGCACGACCATCTCTTCATAGTTCCCTTGAGATTTTTAAATAAAGAATCTTTTCAATAACTATCCAATGTTAATTACAAGGGCATCGCTTATGTAAGAAGTCCATGCTACAAAGCCTTCAGAAGTGTTGGAGCTTGCTAGGACCAATGTACATGTGAAGAGAAAGGCAACCAAGTTAGGAACAATGATAAAAGCTGAGTATGGCACAACTGTAGTAGCTAAGTAGGGTACAATAGTGGTGGTTGATAAGGAGGTGGAGCATGAGTGCACGACTTCAAATGAGAAGGCCTATAACTCGCTATCCATAAGTAGATCCAGTGACGTCATTCCTCGAAATTGGCCGATCACATTGGAGGTGGCGGCATGGTGACTTAACATTTTGGAGAAGATGAATCTCTAAGGTGTTGGGAAAGGCAAGTAGCTTGAGTAGAGATGTGGCCTTGGCCAAAGGGAGTCGAGGAGATGAGAAAGAAGCTCATGTCTGTGAGTATAAAGGAGGAGCTCCTGCACCCAAGTAAAGGTGAACTCATTCATTATGGGTGGATAGTTCCTATTGGTTTATTTAAAGAACTTGGTGGCATTGCTACTAGAAATGGCAGATGGCCCTGTAAATAAACTTCTTTAGGGTGGCTAGTAGCTTAACACCACTTTTTTGGTTCCATTTTATTTTACTTTAAGTTGTGTTGATGAGTCGTTCGTATAAATCATATGCTTAATAAAATTTCTTTATTTGAACGACTTTTTTTAATTTAAATATACTCTTTTTCTATGTGACGAGCAATCTCTTCTTCCATGTTCCATGTTAGGGAGAGTACTATTTGAACTTGTTGCAATGGAAAAATTATTAGGTGCGGAGTGCAGACGGGGTGAGAATCGTCCGCACAGACACAGGGTACCGAGCGGTACCGAGTGGTACCGAATGGTACCGAGCGCGGTTTTATACTAGTGTGCGGACGGTTCTCCCGTCCGCACTCCGCACCTAATAATTTCTCGTTGCAATGAGTGCTTTAGCACGGTTATTACGACGAGTAATCGTGTGCACTCCAAGCAGTGAGTGAAATACTTAGCATATTTTTTGAGATTTGCATTTTACATTATTGTAGTGAATTAGTTCATGTTAGCGCTTAATGAGTTGTGTTTGTTTGAGGCAATTTATCATAGTTTGACAACCTCACATTGCATCGATTTTCATGATGGCTCAAGTGGCGAGTGAACCTCGGGCAAGTTCGCATTTGGCTAATGTTGATGACTACTTAATTAGGCGAGTAGACAAACAACTGTCAAATATATAGATTTTGCATTTAATGCAAATATAATTGGTGTCTCAAAATCTATGCCATGATTTTCTAATTTACTTTGCGTATTGCTTCTCCAATGTGAGCTTATCAGTGTGAGGGGACAGTCAAATATATCTATTTTATAATGAGGGAATTTTACATCCCTTGCAACCACTTCCAAATGCGCATGAGATTACCATCCTGGCATGAGTTTGTTGAAATATTGACGTTTTGTGGAGTAATACTCGTCGAGAGATTATTCTGTGCAGACACTGGACGGGAGAACCATCCTATACTGCATGGTACTAAGTGGTACCGACGGTATTGGTCTCTGGACGTCATTCAGACTCCACACAGAATAATTTGTCCATACTCGCCTATATCATGCCTAATTCTGAGTCGAGTGTGATACCCTTCTTTTTCTACCTCCACGAATAAAAAGTGTGGTGTTCGTTGAAACTATATCTCCACACCTCCATTACCAAAGCCTTCAAGGATGGTTGAATTCAGTTTTCCCCCATCATGGTAAAGACTAGGATTGGCGAACAAAATTTGTGACTAGAAGGCTAAGTACATCTTTGTGAGAAGCTTAAAAAAAAAAAAAAACATCTTTGTGAGCGTTTAGAGCGAGGCGACAACCAAGAGGAGGCGACCAGCCTTGCACCAAGAGGAATAAAGTGGATGATGTTGCTTTCAATAAATTTGCTAAGAAAGCAATTTTATATTATTTCTATCATTAATATCCTAATAAAGAATTTAATTATAGTTTGTTGAATATTTCTTAATAAATGTTTAACAAATGGGCTATTTCATTTGATTCATTATATTTTATATATTTTATTGGTCTTTGGATGACATTCGGACTCCGCACAGAATAATTTGTCCATACTCGCCTATATCATGCCTAATTTTGAGTCGAGTGTGATACCCTTCTTTTTCTACCTCCACGAATAAAAACTATGGTGTTCGTTGAAACTATATCTCCACATCTCCATTACCAAAGCCTTCAAGGATGGTTGAATTCAGTTTTCCTCCATCATGGTGAAGACTACAGGATTGGCAAACAAAATTTGTGACTAGAAGGCTAAGTACATCTTTGTGAGAAGCTTAAAAAAAAAAAAAAACATCTTTGTGAGCGTTTAGAGCGAGGCGACAACCAAGAGGAGGCGACCAGCCTTGCACCAAGAGGAATAAAGTGGATGATGTTGCTTTCAATAAATTTGCTAAGAAAGCAATTTTATATTATTTCTATCATTAATATCCTAATAAAGAATTTAATTATAGTTTGTTGAATATTTCTTAATAAATGTTTAACAAATGGGCTATTTCATTTGATTCATTATATTTTATATATTTTATTAAACTTTCTTCATTAAATTAATTAGATACTAATTAGGATTATATGCTTAAATATTTTACACTTAAAAAATTTGATCATAATTTTGATTCTATTAAATTATTTACATCATTTTTCACATATAATATCCCATCAATTTTATATTTATACACAATATTTTTGAAATTGTTGGAGTAGCTCTAGCGCCATAGGATTAGAGAGTCATCTTAAATGACTTTATCACATAAATCATATGCCTTTTGATGCCTCAATTAGGAGAGTAGATCTATTAGATCCAACTTATCTTAAGAAAAATTGAAGTAGATCTAAAAAGGCTCTTCGTTTGGGACGGCTTTTTTATTTCTTAAAGTAACTTTTTAACATAAAAATTTTAATTTTTATATTAAAAAATTGCTTTAAGCAGTTAAAAAGCCATCCCAAATGAAGCCTTAGGCTACATTTGTAAAAGCTTTCTAATACAAAGATTTTTAGTTTAAAATATTTTTTACTACAAAATTGCTTTAAAAAATAATAATAAACTCATCCCAAACAAAACCTTAATTAGAAAATATTATTAATGATATTTTGTATTAGATTTATTGAAGCCTTAACTCTTAATAGAATCAATGGATTAAAAAAAAAAGATTCATATAACCGGTCCCATATAGCGGGATAAAAATTTCATGTTATTATAATATTTATGAAACTCACATATGTCATTCCTTCATGATTTAAATATTGAATGGATTCCCATATCCATTTTGTATTAGATTTGCACTTGATTAGTAGCGTATTTGCAGAACAAACTACACAAGAGAAAGAGAAAGAGAAATTGAATAATGAATTCCATTGTTAGAGAAACTTCTACAATTATTCTGTGTAATATACAAGTTGAAGATGCACAAAGAGGTGAAGTACAGTAGGAGTAGCAGCTTACTCAGGGTAAAGAAAATGGCAAAAAGAAACATTATGTACAATTTCAGCTGAAGAGATCGATGAAGAGATTGAATAATCAAATAATTAAAGAACGAATAAAGGAAAAAATGGGAAGAATCTCCACACAGAAACTTACTTTATCGCTATAGCTCAATCTTTGAAGCAGATAAAGGCAGAGTATTAAAGATTGGAATTCTGGTCTTCGCTACTCTTTGTGATTAGATCATAGTTGATTGAAGCAAGCTGAGACAAATTCTGTGCACAATGTTCAGAAGTCAGTAGTTGCACAATATTTTTGTATTCTTATTCAGATTGATTTAATTAGGGAACTAAATGATATCCAGTTCCAGGTCGAAAAAGAATTAAACCTATATAAACTGGCTTGGAATTAGCTCATGGATCGAATTGATTCAATTTTGAGCCAACTTGGATTGAATCGATTTGATTGAGCTAGCTTGAATTTGAATAGAGCTAGCACAAAATCAAGATCCAGCATAAGACAATTTTGGATCGTAGCTCAGCTCATTTGGCTCAATCTAAGGTTTTGCTTGGGACAACTTTCTCATTGCTTTCTAAAATAATTTTTTAGTATATATATATATATATATTGAAAAAGTAGTTTTATAAAACAATAAGAAAGCTGTCACGAATGAAGTCCAAGTCAAAAATCAAATCAATTTGTAGCTATCGTGAATCTTTTAAGTTAAAATCTCAATCTTAATTATAATCACATTATGCCTAAATAAATAAGAAGAAGAACAATGTAGATTGTAGATACAATTTGACAGATCTAACCTTGAATGAGAAGTTGCTGAATGAATACTTCACCTCCTGGTCTCGTGAACCAATGTCGGCCATACTTCCAAATTCATCGTCCTGTTCGAAAATCAATCAAAATCATGAGCGAGGGAACATATAAAGATAATAAAATAAAAAATAGACAAAATAAATTTACATCATCTTCTTCACAACTGTCTGGCGTAGTACAATCACTTGCACTTCCTGCATCAGAATAGTCATAAATATCATTTGATGCTGTATGAATTTGAGCATCCTCTGAATTCCACGCATGGCGACTCTCAAAATAACTAGTGTCTTCATCATCCTGTGTTGAGGGAATAAATGCAGCCTGAAAAAAGAAATATAAATATGAAAAATTGATAACTGATATATAAATGTTAATAATATATAGTGGTAAATAGTGGTGAGCCAAATCACCTTCTGTCTTGCAAGCATATCCCAGTTTATGTCTTTGAAGAAGGCATGGGCCTTTACCTCTCCTGCACCAGTGGCTCCAACTCTTTGAAGCGGATTCTGAATAAGTAGCCTGAACAAGATACAAAAATTAATATTTGCAGCTTTAACAGTAAGTCAATATTTACAGCTCCAAAACCAATGTTGTAAAAATATATAAAATCATGAGGGAAAAAAAGTAAAAAAGGTAAAGCTTTTGAAGAATAATGGAGCTACACAGATCGTACTTGTTAATTAAGTCATAGGCTTCATGGCTCATCTCCTCAGGTATTTGTGGCCAAGGTATGTCTCGATTCATAATATTATCAAAAATTTTCTGCAGTTGAAACATTTGTAGAAATGGATCATTAGAGAATCTTCCATTAAAAGGGCCAATCCATGATTGCTACATAAATAAAGTTCTTAATATAATTTTTTTTTAGTATGAAAAAGATTTGAAATATCATAGTTAAAAAAGGGCATAACCCCAGTATATTATGCCCCTGTTAAAAGGATAAGGTTCAATTGGAAGCCGGTCTCAAAGCTCTTCTCAATGTAATTTTTAAAAAGATGATAATGCATAAGCCTCACATTTGTCATATGAGACTTACGCCTTTGTGGGCGTTAGGCGTTCCTCAGTGCAATTTTAGCCCAATTTTTAAGAAGCATAAACCTCGACACGCCTAAGTGGAATTTTAGCCCAATTTTGAAGCAGCATAAACCTTGACAATTAGAGTATAGGTAATTTTAAAATTTTAGTTTACTTTTCTATATTAATTAAACGTATTTGCCATACCAAAATCAAATCAAACTTAAAAAAAACCACACGATCTTAAACTCGCAATCACAGGACCCTCACACCTGCATCACATGTAGTTGTATTGCCGTTGTTGCTACATTACTACCGTTGTTACACCATTGCTACTTCTCCTCTACTTGACCAAGAGCAAATATATCCACTATATTGAAGATTGCAAATGCATCTAAATATTCATGAATGCATAAAGATGGACTTTTAGATATCTGTTGACCTCATTTTTGTATGAGGTCACATTTAACCCCTTTGAGATCAAATCACTCGGTTCAATCAACTTTAACCCAATCAAATCCTTCAAAACTTTGACCCTACCCCGTCTCACGCCCTAGATACGTCCCATCCATGGGTGAGTTAAAACCAAATGACTTTGACCAAGTCAAACCTTAAGTATTTGGTCAAAGCCACCAAATCGTTAATTACTAATTTGAATCCCAAATACATTGCTCCAAAGCTTTGAAGCCACACCAAATAACTTTCTACCTCCCCCAATGCCATCTCAGCCTCTTTTGACCCGTTGACTGACCAAAACAGTCAACTCTAGGCTTCAAATCACCTATTTACATCCTAAAGCTCACTTAGAGCTCTTTTAACCAAGCTCAGGGCTTGGTTTAGCTTTAAATGGAAATAGCCCCCCCACTCACCAAAAGTCCATCCAATGGAAGTAAGGCCGTTCCAGCCTTTGGGGCAGCCTTCCAACGGTTTTGGACAGGTGTTGGGCATCTAGGGGGGAACTCTGATGCATCACAACCGTCCAAGATAGCCCAGATTGTTTGAATAAAGAAAAAAAAAAGTTAACAAGAGGACATTACTTTTGATCAAGAGACACTCTCAATTTCCTTCAAGGATCGGGAGAGTAAATCCTCCGTTCGAAACAACTCTCCAGCCTCGTAGTGGTTGGTCTAAGCATTTTTGGGCGTGGAATTGTGCTAGGGATCTACACTTGGATAGTCTACAAGCTCAACCGTTTGAAGACTTTAAAGATCAACCGGTATAATACCTCAGAAACTTTAGATCTAGCTCACAATAGATAGGTTGTTTTAGCTTTATACCCAATGTTTTTAGGCCAAATGAACGTGCCCCCATTGTTCCCGCTCATGTGCTTGACTTAGATTCAAAATTTTGAATGTTTTGATCGGCTGGACTAAAAGAACGAACCAAAAAGAGGGAGAACGAGCTCAGTATTGCTCAGTACCGAGCAATACCGAGCATCCTTGAGCTCAGTATTGCTCAATACCGAGCAATACCGAGCATCTTTGAGCTCAGTATTGCTCAGTATCGAGTAATACCGAGCAATATCGAGCTTTTTGAGCTCAGTAGTGCTCAGTACCGAGCAATATCGAGCTTCTTTGAGCTCCCTATTGCTCAATACCGAGCAATACCGAGTAACCTCGAGCTCAGTATTGCTCAGTACCGAGCATCCACGAGCTCAGTATAGCTCAGTACCGAGCAGTACCGAGCCCGTGCCTCGTTCCAGCCGTGTGACCCACATGTCTTCCGTTAGGCCCACACCGTTATCTCCTTTATCCATTTATTTAAATAGATTTTAAAGTTTTTTTTTCTTAAATATAATAAATTGTGTGATTTGTTTGAAAATTATTTTGAACTATTTTAAATTTTCTAGAATTCCTAAGATCAATCTATTTTAATGTATAAAATTAAATTTTAAAATTATATTTTATTAAACCTCAACAGTTTTGAGTGGGGTCTTGAAAATCTTAAACATGAGTTGGAGCACTTGGTAAAAACAATGGGGGATGGCTAGTGGGCAAAGGTATTTTGTCCACTAACTTAGCATTTAATACAATTATCTATGATGCACGGACACAGACACGGCGACACGGACACGACACGACACGGACATGGGACACGGTTTTTTTTGAAAATATAGGACACGGGTACGGTGCGGACACGACAATACATTTTTTTTTATATAGTGTATATATATTAATGTAATATCATATAAAAATGACAGATAATAATAAATGAATGACATGATAACTTGTCTAGCTTATAATATAAAATATCTAGTACAATCACAAAAATATAAGCAAATAATCACTTACTACAACATCAAGCATTTAAGCTTCAACTACCAGGATTAGCTTTAGAGATTTGTTTTTGGCCTTCAATATTATTATCATTGAATATCACTACTTTCAACTCTGGTTCAACAAGAGAAATATTTGTAATTGTGCAAAAAGAGAAGAGATGAAAATACCTTCACTGCCAAAGAGAAATGAAAATGAGAATATTCGATTAATGGGTATTAAATGCAGACGTTGATTTGGTGTTGTGGATATGAAATAAGAGATCTAGTTTAAATCTCGCAAAATATAAGAAATTATATTTTAAAAAAATATAAAATATCTAAGATACGCGTGTCGGACACGCGTGTCCAATTTGTTTTTAATATTTTTTTAATCGGACACGTTTTCGGTGTGTCCGACACGTGTCGGAGGAGTGTCGGATGAGTGTCGTGTCGGACACGGTGTCGGACACTGCACGCCTCTTTGAGGAGAAGTGTCGGTGCATCATAGCAATTATATATATATATTTTTAGAGTCTTGCATGTATAGGACTACACACACCACTTAGTTTAGGAACTCCTAGATTTAAGGACATGAGTGCTATGTTTGTGTACTTCCATATGCGGTTTGAAAAGGGTTAGTGACTTTGACTTAATCCTATATAACCTAGAGACATCCTTAAGGAAAAAAATTAAGGATTTGTATAGGAAACTTATATTTTTTTTTAGGATGCATGCTCCCCTAACTTGAGACTTTGAATCAATAAACTTAGTAATATCACTCACCCATAGAAGATATTTCACTGATTTTTGGAGATCATTAGGCTCCATAATCAATCTAATTAGGATTAATCCCTTAATTGACCCTTTAGCCATAATAATATTCTAATAAATCAAGATTAATCCTTAAAATTCTAATAAACCCTCAAACTTCCAAAATTCATTATTAATTATAGAAAATTTCAAATCAATCAAACTCAGTGGCTAATGACTCTAATTAAAATCTAGTATTTTCTAAGAATTTCAAATTCCCAAAATTTGGTCAAAGTCAAAAAGTCAACATTTTGGTCAACCTTAGGTCAAATCTAGGCTAAAACTTCTAAAAATTCTAACTTTTCGTAGAAAACTCCAAATTGAATGTGCCACCTGTCTAACAACTCATAATTAGACCTAGTATTTATTAAAAATCTAAGATCTCTTAAATTCCCTCTAATTTGAAAAATCAAATTTTGACCCCTTAGTTAACACATCCGGATAATCTCTTAAAACCCATTAATTCTTTCAAACTCCAGAATTTTCTAAGTAGGTTAATAAAATTCTCAACCCATATTTTAAAATCAGTAATCAACCCTCTGTAATATTAATCCACCCCTCTTAATTTCAACCAACTTAAATTAATTTAATCAACCCTGATTACTACTAGGTAACCCAGGCCTACGAGGCTATTAGCTTAGCCCAAAGGAAGGTGAAATGAACTTCATGGCCTCGGTGTAAAACAAAGGTAGTAGTCAATTAACCTTTAAAATCTATTTAAATAAATTCTTAAGGTATCAATATTTAAACTCTAACTTAAATTTCCCTTTAAGCCTTAACAAATTAAAATACTAGATAACTCTAACAAATCATCCAACCTAGGATCTACCCCAGCCACACGACCTTTTACACACACTTTAGATGGTTTGCTAGGATAACCAACTCTAGATCTAGGTTAGGCCGGTGTTTACTTTACTGCTGTGTGCCAGATTTTTCGTGATTTTACTGCATGTTGTGGATGAAATTGCTTTGCTATGTCTGCTTACTTTTTTTTACTGCACTCTGTGATTGAATGATGTTTTTGGCGACTAGATTACCCCTAGGATATGCACGATCTAGATGTTCACACAGTTTTCTGCAGGTGGCCACGCTCATGTAGGGCAATAAAAAGGGGGCTAAGTCAATAAAAAAAATTCAATTATTATAAATGCTTGCGCAGGTGCTTCAATTGCTAAAGCCCCCAAATAATAAAAAGAGTGTGGCCAGTGTGTTTATCTACTTTTCTGCACATATAGAACTGCTTTGGAATATTTTGATTTATTAACTGCTTAGGATAATCCTACAGGAGAGTCTAGAATTTTATTTCATATTAAATGTAATTTGTGCAAATGTTAAGTGTTGTGAAAGTAGAGTTTTGAATTGGGATACATAGGTTCAAAGCTTGGACTTCAAAGAGAAAAGGACACCCCTTAGGGGAGTAGCCCTTTTCTATTTGGAGATTCAAATTTGGATCATTTCTTCCTTACCCAAAGAGGAAAGAGTGGCCTTCCCTTCAAAGGAAGCGCCCTCTTATCCATTTGGGTAGAATACTACGAAGAATCCAAGGAGCCTGAAGAAAAGTAGTCCGAAGGAGAACAAGATTGAAGATTTGAAGACAAAAAGTATCCAACTCAAAAACCACTTGCGTCACTACTAGGTTTGGAATCCGGGTTGTTGTCAGTGGTGCCCGACCACTTTATTT